GCGCCGATGGCGTAGGCGGGAGCAGGGCCCTCTCGTATAGGGCGGCTTTGAGCCTAAGCTCGCGGCTTTTTCTAGTTTGTGGCGTGAAGGCCATGCAGATCGAACAAGCCTGAGTGAGGTGCCCCTCTCCAAGGCAGGCCAAGCACATTGAGTGCCCGTCCGTGTTCGGATACAAGTTGGGGCAGCTGGAGCACCGTTTAAACGAGGTAGTCGCCATAGTCTAGTAGTACCAAGCAGGCGAAGCCTCGAGAGGGAGCCAAGTCAAACAGTCCGGGTCAATCGACGGCAAACGGGGTCCAAATCACAATCCAATACCTTAGTCAAACCAGTCCAGATCAAAGTCCAATATAATAAGAGAGAAGCTCGCACGGAGAAAGAAGGTTCTCAAGCTGCCAACAGGAGCGCAGAAAAGAGAACTGCTGGCTAGCCCCGCCCACGGGCTACTTATACTCGAGGGGGAGGGTGGGCGGGCCTAGCTGGGGTCTAAATTGTTATTTTACTTTCTAGAAGGTTCCGAAAGCTGTTCCACGCATGCGTGTAAATACCAAATGTACGATTCACAGTGACTACGACAGGAAACCAGCAAATGCTACATACACTGTGCAGCTGGCAGCCCCATGAGGCCAGAGTTTTTAGCAGAGCTTTTAATGGTCTAATTTTGCAATGGAAGGCAGATATTCCAAAGCAAAACATCTTCTGTTATTTACAGCTAGGTGTTCAGGCTCTGACCTTTTGTCTCTGAGGAATATGATTGTGAAACACTTCACCCTCCACATCGTCATCTTATTGTGAAGGAAATAAGATTTGGCTGCTTATCTTTTGATGAATATACAGTCCAGAAGATACTCTGTACAAAATTTGGGTGGATTAAGAAATATGCTTACAATCGGTATTGATTTTTAAATTTATCAGGACCTCAACCAACTATCTATTTGAAGCCAATACACAGATATCAACATTGTGACATGAAAGTCAAGAGGATGGGCACTTACAATATTATCCCATAGGTGGGAGGGAAGGGGTGGAAAGTGGAGAAAAATGGTGGAAAGTGTTCTGAAGAGTGGGAACCCTTCTACCGTGACACGGTCTGTCTTTGGGGATAGTCAGCCATCCCATGACATTTCACTGTCCTCTTCCGGTTTTTCTCCACTTCCTGTCACTTTCTTCAATCAGGAGTCAGGGAACACCCAACTCCTGAAAATGGAGTCATCTTACTGAATGTGGCTGTACGCTATGGGATGGCTTCCATGGGACTCCATTTTGCCAGTGAATGAAGACGGTTAGAAAGCAGGGGAAAGTTAATGTGGGATAATGTCCATAGACTAAGAATGTATACACTGGACTTGTGCAGAATCTTCTTGTAGTGCACTCATGCTCTGTGTTCAGCCTAGGTGACCTTCTACTGCAGGTTGCGGAGTTTTCTAATGTTCTTTGGGGCTCTTCAGATACACAGTTCTGATGCTACTCAGGAAGGCAGTTCATTAAAGTGTAATGGTTCTGCAAGTTCAGATTGGCAAGAGCTCTGTTGGAAGGACCAGGGGAAGTTCCAAGTGGAGGACAAGGTGAGGGCAGCCAAAGGTCAGCAAGAAGCAGTTTCAAGTGCAGAGTCTGCTAGGCAGAAGTCAGGAGTCTAGAGCAACAAACAGCAAGAGACAAAGGCAGATTGAAAAGCAAGGCCAGATTCTGAAAGGCAGCAGTCACAGGAGGACTGAGATAAGACAAAACATGGCATCTGTGGTTATGAATACTTTAGCAACAAGTTTCTCTGACAAGAAAACAAGTCTGAAAAAAAGTTATATTATTCTGCCTGTGCCCTGCTGGTTCTCCAAGCCTGTCTAGGCTGATAAGCTGTTCTGTCACCCTCTGGTCAATACCTATGGGAATGTGTGCAAACTAGATATTATTGACTATAGCTCCCATAAATCTTAGCCAACATATTTAACATAGTGGTCCAACAACATTTGAAAGACCACACAGATCATATCATCTACTGAGCATAGTACAAATTGGTCCAATAGTGTTCATTTCAGTTTTCTAAAGGCTTCCTTAGGGGGGGAAAAACATCCTAAGTAAGGCATTCCAATGCTGTGTCAGATCCTGTGGTCTGAGGCATCCAGTATTTGGCACATGACTTAGCATGTAATCTATATATACAACAGGGCATTAGGATGGCTCTTGATGTCAGCTTCAACCTCCCACTCTGAACATAAAAACTTCTGGTGATTCAGAGGCTGAGCACATACATGCCAATGCAAGCAGTCTCTGTTCACATGATGTATATACTACCCCACCCCACCCCTACACACACACACACACACCCTACATACAACACAAAGGGGTTACATAGGCCAAGTGGGGTCCATAGACATACATTAATGCACATTGGCTTGAGCTCAATTATGGTCCTATGGTACCCTAATGCATGTATATTTTCCACACTGAAAGCATAAAAGGATCAACTCCAATAAGCAGCCACATCCATCAAAAGGCAGAGAGCTAAACTGCATGCTGTTATTTTGCTAATGGTAGGTCTAAAGGATTTCAGAAACTGTCCACCAGCTTTGATGGATTAAAATGGGTGACAAGAATGAAACAATCCAAAGTATATGCAAATTTGCCAAAGTATATGCAAAACTCAACACAAAAGTGCACAGGAGAGGAACATTTTCTCCTGTTACCTCCAGGTTTCTTTCCTTTCCTCCTTTATAACAGCTGCCTATACTATTCTTCTCCCTCATTCTCATCATGTTCTTTTTCAGAGGTTGTCCCCTTCTCCCCCTCCATGCAACTTCTGACTAAATATATTCTCTAGGGCTGGGCGGTTTCGTTTCGTTAATTCGTAATTCGTTAATAATTCGTTAATTTTTTCAATTACAAAATGATAACGAACCATTCTGGAGCAATTTTTTAAAAAAACGAATTTTTAAAAAGTTTTGTAAATGCTTCGTATTTCGTTATTGTATTCGTTTCGTTATTGTTCTGAGGTCGTTTCGTTATTATTTCCGCATGTCTGGGGCAAGTTTTTTGTTTAATTAGTGAAAAAAAATTATAATATCACACCAACAGTCAACAACAGAGGGAGAGGGAAGCTTCAGAAGTTTTTGGAGGTTTTTTAGCGTATTTCGCGGTCGCGCCCGCCATTAACGAATCGATTTGTTATCGTTTCGGAAATCGATTCGTTAATGTTTTGTAAATTTTTTCACATTTACGAAATTTCGTAAATATCGAACTTTTTTAAGGGAAAATTTTGTAATTATTTTAAATATCAAAACAAAAAAACCCCCCAAATACAAATCGATTTTAGAAACAAATTTTTCCGTTGTTACCCAGGCCTAATATTCTCCTCTATATTGTTTTTTCACAATGCAAGGCAAATTCCTTGTCCTAGCCTTTGATTCCCTCTTCTTCACTGCCTACATATACTTGAAGTTATCTTCCCTTCTCTTCCCTATTTTTCCTCTCCTGCTCTATTCCTTTTTCTCCTTCTCCTTCCTACCCAATTCCCCTGACATGGGTTCCTACTAATCCTCATTTTTCCTTTTCTGTCTCTCACATCCTGGCTCTTTTGCCTTCTCCCGATCTCTCTGTTTTCTTTCATCCCTTCCCCCAACTATTCCATTGTATTTATCATCCTCCTTCTCTTTCCTTTTGACTCTTTCCCAGACTATCTTTCTCCTTCTCTGTCTGCAACCGTATCTCATTTACTCAACCAAAACTATTGATGGATGGAAGGAAGGAAAATGACACAGTGGATAATGGGAGCAAACTTGAAAAAAATCTTTTGCTTACATAGGGACTACAATATGTTAAAATCAGTGTTCAGAAAGTGTTAAACGTAAAGCTGTGAAAACCTCAATGCTTCCTTCTTGTCTTTTCTTTTTTGTTTTGTTCCCAGAATTGCTTGGAAAGCATTCTCTGGTTAGATTCAAAATCCAATTAGCTCTTAAGTGCAAGGTTTGTGGAGCGATTTTTAAATTCAGAACCTGGGAAAGTTGGTTAACAAACAGAGGAGTATTTTCTCATTTGTTAGACTTTGGGCTTATTGGAATGACATATTCTGAGCTATCTCACCAGGGTCTTCCCTTTGTAATATCACCAGGATACAGTCTTGTGACATAACTGGGGACTTCATCATATGAGCAGTAGAGAAGCAGGGTAAAGCAAAAGAAAGTATTGGGAGGAGTGGGGAAAACATCTCACCCCATTATCTCTCAGCAGAGTCTGTCTTGAGGGATGGCCAGCCATCCCACAACCTTTCCCCATCTTCATTTCATTTTCTCTTGCTTCCCCCTCACTTTCTGGAAGCAGGAGTCGGGTAACCCCTGAATCCAGAGAAGGGAGTACTGTAGCACATTGGCAAGATGGTGTCCTACAGGCGACCACTGGGCAGCTATCAAAAATGGCCATGCATCATAGGATGACCTCTGTGGGACACATTTTTGCCAGTGTGTGAAAACAAAGATAACACAGGGGAAACATCCATGTGATGAAGGCCTAGATGTCAGCCCTAAGTCTTATTTCTGGCCCTGAACTCTCATGGCCTGGATTTTTCTTGATCTGGCAGTTCTAGGACTCAATAACACTGAATATTAAAATTGTTTTTAAGCTGAATTAAATGCAAAACTGCTACTGAATGCTTAGACGTATTACCATTACCTTGTGATGGACATATGAGTAAAAAAATAAAGGAGAATTGCTGTTTTTGTTAAAAACATCAATTCATTGGTAACAATTTAGATCATGTTGAAATGTGGAAGGGAGATTGCACATATGTATGACCTAAAATAAGGCATGTGTCTTCAAGCTGACTGTTGATTTTTAACTTAGACATGATTTGCCATTGCCTTTCTCTATTGTTCCCTGATCATCTATCTTCCAAATACTACTTAGGCTTGATGCTAGTTAGCTTTCAAGTCCAGACAGGATCTAGTATCTTATGGGTTAGCCCCACGTGTGTATACAGAATGTCTCCTAAGTTCAATCGACTTACATCATCTTACCTTTTCGTAATGTATGTATTTCAGCTAAATCCTTCTCATTCTGCTGTTTCTCCAGATCACTTTGACATTTGAGCTGTAATCCCAAAGATGGAGTGTCTTGGTCTGAGAGCCCTTTTTTGGTGGCATCTCCAGAGAGACCCTGAAATTGATACTAGACAGCAGAATTAATTCATCCACACAATCAGTAAAAAATTATATTTTCAGCAAAGTATGTAGAAAGAACAATTGTTACATTTTACATTATTTATTATGAGTTTTATTGACCTATCTTTGTCAGAAGGTCAATCATAGCATTTTCTTAGGCAAAGAATAAATCATGATAGAGTTTCTAGCAGCAGCTTTATCACTAGTGTATGTTTGATAGCTTAAGGAAGACTTATTTGGTATATGTGAGATGTACACACACACACACCAAGATATTTTGCTGACTGAGGCAGAATACCATATGGAGTCAAACCTCCCCACGTTATAATGCATAGTACCCAAAGTCAGGAAAGCTTTTTTGACACACAGGGCAGAAAATCCTTCAATCAGGTCTAGCAATGAAAACTAACATTAAGAACACACACACACACCCCTCCGCCCCAAGTTGGGTTTAATCCTAATTATATCTCCTATACACTTGAATTGTACAATTCCACTAATTGGCATGTGCGTGGCCACTTCAACTCTGGGCAAAGGGAAGCCAGGGACTGCATCTAGCCCTATGTATCTTTGCATTCCCTAACTTCCCTAGATTGTGCCTTTGCTGGTAAAAAAAAAAACCCAACAAGAAAGTTGTTTATCCAGGAAGTCTCAGAGATTTTTCTTACAAATTGTTTGTAGATTCCCTGCACCTTAAAAAACAACAACAAAACAAAACAAGATTTCTATGTGACCCCAGGTTTACTAAGGAAGAAAAGCCCCGCCCCCCCTTGCCAAACTTACAGAGTTTTCTATTTATGCTCTACTAGTTGAATATAGGGACATTTGAATGTTTGACTGTAATTGAGCATAATGCCAGTATAATTTATCTGCAATTTTACTGTAGACAGGTATATGCTAATCTTCTGACTGAAGAGACTCCTCCAAATACTAGCCGTCATATTCCTGAATCACAGTATTATGATGTACACACAAACTTTTCACAAGCAGTTTGATCCATCTTTTGGGAATCCTTGTCCTATATCACTGAGAACAAGAGTTAAACCTTCAAAGCCAACATTGCCCTCTTCTGCTTTAGATTTGTTTTGCTCTTTTAGATGGGTTTTCCCTCTCCACAGTAATCACCATAACATGTGTCCAATTTCTCATTTTGAATTGTCCTTAAGTAACCTACAAACAAAACTTTATTTAATAGACATACCAAGTGGGAAATTTCTCAGCTGTAAAAAAATTCTACAAATAATATGATAATGTTATCAGTCAACACAAATCTTTAGCCTTTAGAAGTCTCTACCACCTACGTTTCCAAAAGACATTGTGTGTATGTGTGCCTTCAAGCAGTATGCTGAGTTATGGTGATTCTTAAAGGCATTAGGCATAGAAAATAATATTTAGAATTGCAATGTTTAAAAGTAAGCAAAGTTCAATTATGGACTTTAAAAGAAAGTTTAGGTAATTAAATTAATATAATTATTAGAAAGTAATTAATTAGAGGTCCAATTCAGAATTTAGTCCAACAGAATGAAGTTAATTAATGAAAAGGTGAAACCAAATTGTGAAGGAAATCAGTGAGCATGTGCATAATATAAAATGGTTGGGATTTGTGGTCATTTATCCTACAGAGCTGCAGTGCAATAAAAAACTCCACAATGAAAGATTTGTGCCAAAGCATTTTAAATCAACAGTTGTAGCTTTACATTTTATGCCTCTCTAGCATCTGCAGAAGAAAAAAAAACACAAAGCTATGAAGATAAGATTTCCATTGATGGTAAGGTAAGTAGCTCAAGAACTGATGAGATGATACAGAACATAAGAAGATAAGACAGAACATTTTACTGGAAGGTACAGATGAAGCACACAGACAATATCTGGAAAGTGTCCACGTCACATCTATATGCAGAAGTCAGAGAGAAAGAGAGAGTAGATGAAGACAAACAGAGCATCAACCAATGGAAGATAGTACATTTTTCTAGGGACTAAAACACCTACCACCAGAAAGATATCAATTTTTTTCACAATTATGACTTATTATTGAACTGACCATCTTTCCATCTTTATATCAGCCTGTAGATATCCTGGGGTCATCTCCTACTGACTGTATCAACACCCAGATTATCAATTTGACAACTTTTGGCCCACTGGTAGCAAGATTCTGTATGTCCTAATCCCCCATTTCACCTAATTACAGCAAGTATCATTAATAATATCACTTCTTACCAGTAATATTTACACCCAGTACTTACTAAAATTCTTAATCATCAAAGGTATTATTATTTTTGTTTGGAAGTGTTTGCTCACAACAATATCTGTGAATTTACCATATTTGATCAATAAAATAGCAAAATGCTAATAAACTTATACATTTTTTAAAAAAAGTAGTGGTCTCTTTGGTTCCATGATGCTGAGATCTAGTACTTTGATAGAGTGATTGGTAGGAAGCAATTAACTTGCCACAAGGCACTATGGATTCATTCTCCTCTTTCTCTTCCTCCTATTTTGGCAATGCGAGGGATATGTTCTAACTAACTACTTAAAGGTACTAATTTGGTATATGTCTACTCTTCTGAGTGATAGCCCTATTGCTTGTCATTATGAGCTTCCAAGTCACCTTCAGCTTATAACATGGAAAGATTTATTCAAAGATTTCCCAATCCTTTCCTTCAAGATTGCAAGAATGTGGCTTGTCCGAAGTCACCCTGTAGGACGGCTATGGCTGAATCCTAACCTCTCAGGACACATCCAGATAGCCCCTTTATTGCAGAAACATCCGCAATAAAAAGGGGTTGTCCAGATGACATTTTGGGCAACCCACAATTAATTCGCCACAAACCAGGACAACGCTGATTTGTGGCAAATTAATTAGTAGTGGATTTATTCCACACTATCTTTGAAGGCATGGGATAAACCCACTACAGTCCAGACACCATTCCCACAGTTTTCCAGACTACATTAAAATTACTAGCAAAATCTACTGTTTGTATAGCCAAACATTTTGGATATTTGATTTTAAAAGTATAATAGTGATATTGGAAGCTACCATGATGTGGTGGTTTCAGGGTTGGACCAGGACTCTGAGGGTGCTTCCACACAACCCTTTATCCCAGGAGCATCAGCATTTTAAAAAATGGATGTTCCTGGGCCCCTATCCACACACACCCCACAAAGCACTTGTTTCCTGGGGTGGGTGTCTAGACGTTCTTCCGGGACTGGCCCGGAAGAACATCTGGACACTCAGTCCAGAAATTGCATGCTTTCAGGAGTGTGTGTGGATAGGGACCCGGGAACATCCACGATTTTAAACTCGGACGCTCCGGGGGAAAGGGGCTGTGTGGAAGTACCCTCAGAATCCTGGTCCAACCCTGAAACCACCACATCATGCTGGCTTCTAATATCACTATTATACTTTTAAAAATCAAATATCTAAAATGTTTGGTCATACAAACAGTAGATTTTGCTTGTAAACTTTTTTGGGATAAAATTGTATACTAGGTTCTCTGGTGTCCTCATGGAAAACAGTAAATGAAGGCAGACTGCAATACATATAGAAATGGGGAAAGGTGGTTATTTTTTAATTCTAAAACTTCCATGAAGACAAATTTTCCTAATTTATGCTTAGCTAGTCTCTCTGACCCCCTCCTTTCAATTAGTCATCTCCCTTAAGGATAGATATCCTTTGAGAATTATATTACATACTGCATCAATAATATTAAATCGAGCCAGGAGACTCCTGGATTTGTTCTGCAACAGTAGTAATAAACCAAAAGATCTTTGAAAAGAAATAACATAATACATTATTCAAAAGTTCATCATTGTTTGCATGCTCAGAATCGACACAATAGTTCATGGAATTAATAGTTGTACTTATACAAGTTAGGTTGTACTAATGGTCTGAGAGATACAGCATGTAAAGAAGGTTAATAGTACTATAATGTTATAGTGTATGACCATATTTGAATATAATTACAGCTTAACCCTAAAGGCTCATTTGCCTTGCCCCTAGTCATCACAATATAACAATATAGATTTTCACTTATGTATTTGATTACAAGTGTCATAGGGACTTGTGTTGACCACTAGGGCTGTGCAAAACTTCATATTTTGGAGATTTTTTATGATTTGTTAATACTGAATAACTAATCCTATCAGGACCCCACCAAAGCATGAAAAATCAAAGCAGACACCTCCAAAACATTCTGAGAGATTAGTAAAGATTTGTTGTTTCAGAGAGTTTCAAGCTGTGTTTTTTTTTTCAATGTAACATACTCTGTAATTGTCTGGGGTGGGAGGGGACTGGAGTAATTGATAACAGCAGTTGCCTATGGTTTTTTTTCATTGCCAGGCAATAAAAAGAAGAGCCAAGAAGAAAGCCAATCACACAGCTTTCTGCAGAGCTGGTCTCTTCCCCTCAACATCTGTGTTTCTTTGTGGAGTTAGTGGGAGAGAGAGAAAGTCATGTGCTGATCATTCTGTGTGTTTGTTAAAACTCAAACTTGTAACTTTTTTATTTTTCTTTCTGTCCCTTCCTATCCAGTCTATAGCCTTCCTCTGTTGAAATTATCCGGCCCTGAACTTACGTTTTCCAAATTTCCATACTTCCTCCCCAAACTTTACAGTCTTTAGTTCCCCACAGTTTTAAAATCCTTTTTTAATCAGCTTACTGTGTTTGCTTATTGCTTATAAGTCTCATTGATATGAAAGTGATTTAGGTTAATCACATGTTTAATCACATGTTTAATTGAAAAAAAAATTAAAATCAGTGGATAGACTGGAGTGTTGTGTGGATAGACTGATTGTTCTGAAACTTGGCAGGCTTGCTGCCCTGACCATTTTGTTTCACTGGGCCACAATTTAAGGGGAAACTTCTTGTAGTTTTTTTTAAACAGTTCCATCCCAGCTTACCTGTCTGAACGTATCTCTCCTTACGAACCATCCAGGAGTTTAAGATCGTCTGGGGAGGCCCTGCTCTCAATCCCTTCTTCCTCGCAGGCGCACTTG